AAACAAAAAAAGAAACAGACTCACAGATATAGAGAACAAAGTAGTGGTTACCAGTGGGGAAAGGGAAGCTAGGAGGGGCAAGATGGGGGGGAGGGGCAAGATGGGGGAGGGGCAAGATGGGGGAGGGTCAAAAGAGGGGTTATTATGGGATTGTATGAAATCATATGTATGAAACTCCTGAAAAATTTAAAGCACTAAAGAATTTTTTAAAAATTTTGAAAGCGTTACAAAATTTCAAAAGGCCTTACATTATATAAAGGAAATGTAAAGGGTGTGCTGACAGTTTGCAATACAATTCTAGTTTGATGCAGGGCTGCTGGGTGGTCATAGGCAGAAGTCTGTGACCTGAGCCCTGAGCAGGAAAAGACCGCTGGCGGGGAGCAGCGGCCGGGCAGCGGGAGGGGCACGTGGCCTGCGGGGATGGAGACTTAAGGCTGAAAGGACTCGCTGGTCCTCTGGGAGAAACCAAAGCCCACGCAGTCTTGGCACAGAGATTGGTGTTGGAAGTGAGAGCAGCACAAGACGCTGAGAACAGGGCATGAACTTTCACTTGAGTCAAAGAGTTATGCAACCTGCCCCCGGAAGGCACGAGAAGCCCGTGCTCAGCATGAGAGCACAAAGTGCCCTTCTCCTCCTGCGCTGTCAGATGCAGAGGTGGCTGATGTTCTTCTCAGCCCTTGGGATGGCATCTGGTGCCAATGAGGAAATGAATGCTACCTAGTACAGGGCTCCCCATACCCACTGGAAGAAGGCTGCCAATTGCCCGGAGGATTTCAGGGAATTTCAAATCTGCTTTTCAGCTGGCGCAGCCACAGGGTCTCTGAGACCCAACTTATTTCCGAACTTTTCCCTCCTTTCTGAATGCAAGATCCCAGGGACTCAGCCTTCTGGGCTACCTTTTCAGTAGCCTTCACTGCCTAGTCTAGCCTTGTCTAAGCAAAATCACCTATTACCCTCTTGCTCTCCCAACTTCTGGAAGCTGGAGATGGAATGGATGGGATGCAGCGGGAAGACCTCAGCAGGACTTTCCAGCATTGGGCTGTGCTTGGGTGGCAGCTTCTGTTTTGACCTGCACTACAGGAAGCAGAAAACGTCACATGGCCAGTTGGTTCTCTGCCTCCTTGCTGAAGCGGTAGAGCTCACAGCTGCAATTTCCCAGCCTCTTGTTGGTTCAAGAATGTTGGCTGCAAAATCGCATCTCAGTTACCTGCAGGGCAATTTCTAGACTCATCTCTAGCCAGCAGAACCAAATATGAATCCACTTGAGAATAATTTTCAGGAGACAGAGAATGACTTCCATGCAATTCAGCAAACATGTGACAGTGCCTCCTTACAGAGTCTCACACCCTGTTAATTTAGCTCAATTTTTATTTGTCAGCCACCAGGCAGGAGGCCAGAGACAATCCAAATGATTAATTTAGAAGCGACGTGTGTGCCTTTCGGAAACATAAGAAACACTTACCCCAACCTCTGGCGGAGGATCCTTATGTTCAGATAGGACACTGGTGCGAACCTAGGGAGAAAAACAAACATTTTCTGTAGGACTTTAGAGTATAAACCCGTGCAGAAGCTTCACACAGGTGCTGGGTTTCATTTTCCTTCATCTGGCGTCAATTCAGCTTCTGAAGTTAATCATTAGTGAAGGTGCCTATGCACAACATCCTCTGTGTGCACCAGCAAAGCCACCCTTTTACACTTCCTGAACTCCCTGATGCTCCTAAGAAGGCACAGCGGCCTGGATCCTCACCTCAACACCCTCCGTCAAACACAGCGATATCTTGGCTTTAGATGAATCACTTTTTTAATCTCCCTGAAGAGCAACCCTCATTCCATGTTCAGGGGAAAGGACAGAGTTGGCGTAGACCAAGTCATTCCATGCATGCTTATAAATATTTATTCTCCACATGGGCACCAAAACCCACAGTCCTTGTAGAATATCCCTCCCGCTTGAGGAATTCTAAGCCAAACTGTCACATACTATTATCTAGACTCATTTGAAAACTAATTCTCAATTGTAGGAGAGGAAAATAGTGTAAAATAATTAGTCATCTGGGGCAGCTTTTCATATGTTTATTTTTTAATTTTTTTTAATTGAAGTATAGTCAGTGACAATGTGTCAATTTCTGGTGTACAGCACAGTGTCCCAGTCATGCATATATATACATATATGTATTTTCATATATTTTTTCATTAAAGGTTATTACAAGATATTGAATATAGCTCCCTGTGCTCTACAGAAAAATTTGGCTTTTTATCTATTTTCATATATAGTGGTTAATATTTGCAAATCTCAAACTCCTAAATTTATCCCTTCCCACCCCCTTTCCCCTGGTAACCATAAAATTGTTTACTATGTCTGCGAGTCTGTTTCTGTTTTATAGATGAATTCATTAGAGTTCTCTTTTTTCTTTTCTTTTCTTTTCTTTAGATTCCACATATGAGTGATATCATATGATATTTTTCTTTTTCTTTCTGGCTTAATTCACTTAGAATGACGATCTCCAAGTCCATTCATGTTGCAGCAAATGGCATTATTTTATTCTTTTTTATGGCTGAGTAGTATTCTGTTGTATAAATATACCACAGCTTCTTTATTCAGTCATCTGTTGATGGACATTTACATTGTTTTCATGTCTTAGCTATTGTATACAGTGCTTCTGTGAACACTGGGGTGTACGTATCTTTTTGAATTAGAATTCCCTCCAGATATATACCCAGGAGTGGGATTGTTGGATCATAAGCTAAGTCTATTTTTAGTTTTTTGAGGACTCTCTATACTGTTTTCCATAATGGCTGCACCAAACTACATTCCCACCAGCAGTGTAGGAGGGTCACTTTTTCTCCACATTCTCTCCAGCATTTATTGTTTGTGGACTTTTGAATGATGGCCATTCTGACTGGTGTGAGGTGATACCATAGTTTTGATTTGCATTCCAGGTGAAATATCAACTCCTTAGATAACAAGGAGACGTATCTCTTCCCCTGAGTGCTGATTCCAGTACTGGCTGTACATTAGAATTACCTGGAGACCTTTCAAACTATCAGTGCTCTTTCCTGTCCCCAGGTATTGATTCTAACGTATAGCTACTGAGTCCACGGTTCTCTATTTAAGAAAAAAATGTTTCAGATAAAAAGAAATCACGACTATCTTTCTCACTTAAGAAAATGCTAGTAAAAGGAAGAAGAAAACATAAAAACCTAGATCCAGTATATCTTAATTTGAAGTAAGATAAGATAAATAAGCCAAATGAATACAGAGCAATATATATGCACACTCTGTTTAACTGGAGAGCAGAGGGCTGGGGGGAGGGGTAGGAGAGAGGAACTCAGGAATGTATAATGGATCAACATTTTAGGGGGTCATTCAAACAAAATCCCTTTGGAGGTGCAGCAATGACAATCATACCTCTTTCTTTGTTTCCTTATTGCAGATCCAGCACCATCGCCTGCACAATTTGTCAGTCATTATGGCTCAAAATTGCTCACCAGAGCACAAAATAAATGACACAAGAGATCCCAACAGAGTAAACAACACAATTTTCAGAACGCACTCAACTCAGGATTTCATGACAGAGCACTCACTGGTAAGAGCATTTCTAGTTTGAAGCTGCATTAATGTTCTTTGGTTCAGAACGTTCAGATGTACCATTCGGTCTCATTACCTGGAAATCATTAACTAGTCTCAGGAGATAAGAAAACAAGGAAGCTATATATATTAATACATAGTGGGCTGTAACGGACCATATAGAGCATGTGTGTGTGTGTGTGTGTATGTGTGTGTGTGTGTGTGCGCGCACAGACTCTACATACACAGTATGTGTGTGTATACAGAGATTATATACATAGTGTGTGTACATACACACTAACAATACAGGTATATTAGAATTAACAATATGTATGGTGAATATGTATTTACATACTTGCAACCTATACACACATGCATATATGTGTGTATTTATGCAACATTTTAAGAAAATATTTGACTTCCAAATAACTTTATCCAGTGGATATGCTTAAATTTAGAAATAAAGCTAAAGAAGTCAGAAACTGGTGAGGGTAAATGTATACAGAACTGCATAAAGTGTGAGTTTGTGTATATATGTATATTTTCCTAAATCAAGGCATGTCTAAATCACTAGCAGAGTGCTTGATTTAGAAGAACTGAAAGATAAAATTGTAAACCAATTTTAAGTTTTATAAAGTCAGACTTTTATAGGATATATTTGTTTAAATCAGTATATATGTCCAGTTCTAAAACTTGTATATTTAAGTTTAACATTACTGATGTTATAACATATAGATTACACATCAATGATGTTTTTCTCACATAATATATATCCCTCCTGACAGTGAACACAAACCACATGGCAAACACTGGGCTTGCCAGTGAATAAGGTCTTATCCCCTCTCTTTGGGAATTTAGGGTTTAGTGGACAGGACAAATGTCTGAATAGTCCAGGATAATGTAATAAGTTCTGTAGTGAGCATTTTCCTGTGGGCATTCAGAGTGAAGAGTTACTCACTGAGCCTGGGAGTGTCAGGAAAGGCTTCACACAGAGGTGGTCTGGGTTTTGAAGAATGAATAGGAGTTTCAGGCAGGGGAAGTTATGACAAAGCAAGTGGGGTGTTATATAACAGGTATGCATCATGGAGATGAAAAAGCCCATTTGTGTTTGGAAAAGAGTGAGTATTCTGATGCTGCTATAGCATGGGGGCCTCCAGGGAAGGGACAAGAGTCGAATATGTTTGGGGAAAGAGATGGGGCCATTTGCCTAGACAGAGGTCTATCTATCATGTTATAGCATTGCAGCTGCAGGAAAATTTGTGGTCAACAGGAAATCAAGGAAGGTGTTTGGGTAGAGAAGTGACATGATCAGAATCCCATCAATCACACCAGCTCTGACCAGAGTCACGTTGGGAGAATCATTTAACCTCTTTGCGTCTCTTATCTTGAACATGGAATTAAAACAGACCCATAGGCGGTGGTAGTACTCTTTCCAGCACATAGAGCAGTACCTGACACCAAGAGGGAAGGAGGGAAGAGGCAAGAAAGGAAGGGAAGGGAGAAGAGAGAAAATGAAGAGGGAAAGGAGGAAAAGAAAGAAGAAAGGAAGAGGGGAGAGGTGACAGAGGACACACAGGAGGAGGCAGAGAGACAGGGAGACAAGACCGGAGGGAAGACTATGTCACTGAAAAAAACAATAAATCCTGGACAGATTTAGATGAGAAAGGGACGAAGCAATGACGGTCACTGTAGCATCTGAAATATTCCAGTTCACCCTGCAATGTCATGCCTCCTGAGAGTTACTGGCTTTTCTTAGTAAGCTGTCTTCCCTTTTTTGGTCTTATTAGCATTTCTTCTCCCTGTTTTTCATGCCCCTCCCTAAGCCTTCCTGGAACATAAGAATGCCTGCCTGACTACAAGTTTAAAATTCTTATAACTTCCTTTTGCTTAGATTTTTGTGATATCAAATAAAGCAAGAAAGATCAATTACTAGGAGAGGTCATGTAGATGTACATTCCATCTTCAATATCTCTTAAAGTTCCTGGAAAACAAATTCATTTCCTTCTTTATCAGCTTCATAGGCTCAAATTTCCATGTACTAAAGCTACTCTGGAAAAAAAAGGAAAACCAGGTAGCGTATCGTGAGTGACACGCTTTCATCAAATCCTTATCGACTTGTCCCTGAACTTGAATTGTTCCCAAGCAAGAGGCTGCTTGAGCTACCATGGCAGTGGCTGAACACAGCACTCCAACCCCTGGAGAAAAACTTCTTAAACTACTCATCCTTGTTACAAAGAGCCTGGGCCCCGCTGCCCTGAGCACTGGAGGAGGGTGACTGCTGTACTTCGCATAGGTGAGTAACGCTAGGACACAGCTGGGAATCCAGATCCAGAGAAGGGAGGCCAAGCTGCCATGACTCTGTGCAGCAGGATGAGGCCTGGATCTCACTGCTAGGTGAGGAAGGAGAAATCTTCCCCTGGGCGATCTCAGCTGGAAGGCGGAGGGGGAGGCATTGGCAATAGTGGAAAAACATGTTTGGTGCAAGAAGAACGTCCAGATCCTTTCCTCTGACTACTGTCACATCTGGGAAAGTCTCTGATAATGAATATGTCATTGAAGCACATCCCTCTTTTTTTTTTTAATAAAAATGTTACTCTAATCCTCTGTGCATCTCAGATTAGAGTATGTGATATCATCACATTTACTTGTTCCACTGGGAATGAGATACAGAATTGCCTTAATATTCAAACACATGGAAGCCTAACTGCGACAGAGGGTTTAGCCTCTTCCACAACATGAACTTTCTGGGAGGAAGCTGCCTGGTCCGGATTACATTTCCTAGGATACCTTGTATTGACAGGTAACCATATCACTAGTTTTCGGCAATAAAATATATGTAGAAGGGCTACCTGCTGCATCTGAACTAGACTTTTCAGAAGCAGATCTAGCATGCCCCCTCAACTCCCTTATCTCCTTCCAAGGAGTCCAGCTCGTAAGTGGCTGCAGAG